TTGGTCACTGCGAATGCCTCTGAGACGGCTTCGTTGTCTGTGACTCGCGTCATCATACCGTCGTGCAGCTGACGCACCATTTGTGTGAATCGCTCCGGACAGCCGAATTTCTGCATGATCTTTCACAGTCCTTCACGATTCACCGTGTCGAAGGCTTTCGTCAGGTCCACGAAGGTAGAGTACAGGTGGGTCCGCATCTCCTGACACTTCTCCTGAAGTTGGCAGGCGGCAAAGATCATATCCGTGGTCCCACGATGTCGGCGGAAGCCGCATTGGGTCTCCGGCAGTAGGCCATGTTCGAGATGGTTGTTGAGGCGGTTGAGAAGGATGCGAGCGAAGATCTTCCCGGCGATGTTCAGCAAGGAGATGCCGCGGTGATTGTCGCAGATTTGGCGGTTCCCTTTTCGCTTGTAGAGATGCACGATGGTTGCGTCCTTAAAATCTTGCGGGACTTCACCTTGACGCCACATCTCCTGGAAGAGCGCAGTCAGGTGATCCATCAGTTGGGGACCTTCGTGCTTGTAGACCTCAGCAGGGATTGCGTCCGATCCTGGTGCTCTTCGCTGGAGAGCTGCTGCACGGCCCTGATCGTTTCCTGGAGAGATGGCGGGAGGTCGAGGTCCGCGTTGGTTGCCACTTGCGGCAAGCGGGCGATGGCGGCTTCGGAGATGACGGAAGGGCGGTTGAGGACGCCTCGGAAATGCTCGGCCCATCGCTGTAAAATGTGCGTTTTCTCAGTCATGAGAGTGCTCCCGTCGGCGCTGAGGAGAGGAGTAGTGCCCTTCGTCGGCGGACCGTAGACAGCTTTGATCGCAGAGAAGAAGTTCTTCCATTCGTTGCGGTCCGCATAGCCTTGGATCTCCTCAGCTTTGCGAGCAGTCCAGGCGTCCTGCATCTCACTCAGTCGTTGCTGAAGTTGGCGGCGACTGCGGTAGAAAGCAGCTTTGTTGTCCGCAGTGGGGTGATCTGCGTAGGCTTTGTGTAGGCGGTTCTTCTCGGCAAGCAGATTGCTGATGACGGCCTCATTGTCGTCGAACCAGTCCTGGATTTGGCGGGGAGCGCGACCGAGGAGGTCTAGGGTTGTCGACTGGATTGTATCCCGCAGTTGACACCAGCGGTCCTCAACGGAGGCGGTCTCGGCAGCAACATCGACGGCCTCGCCGGCGGCGGCAGGGGCAGCAGCGTTAGGAAGGTTGTCGACTTCGACTGGCAGCCACCACCGACGAAGCACACACTATCTCCTCGCATGCTTCAGAGTGTCACAGATCGATTGAGTAGGTGCCGTGACGGCCGCAAAACACACACCCAGCTGGACAGACTGCCGATTCTGGTGATTGAGGCTGAAATGGAATGTTGCTGCTGGCAGTTGTCTACAGCGGGTTTTCGTGAACGCGATTGTGACCGAATAGACACGTGCGGTGAATAAATGTGTGAGTGAATTATGGGCAGTGTTGGCAGGTTCGACGGGTGTAGGTCGGTTCTCCAGACACTGGTTCTCCAGCCTCTGTGCGATGAATTCGCAAATGACCGACCAGGCCAATGTGTGTGGTGAAGGGAGGATCGCAATTCGGAGGGGTATAGACCGGGTCCTTATAATCAGTGTTTGCTGTGGTGGTGGTGGTGGTGGTGGTGGTGGTGTTGGTGGTGGTGGTGGTGGTGGTGGTGTTGGCGTTTGTTAGGTTGTCATGATTGTTTGTAGGTTTGACGGACATGTCAGAAGCCACATCACCAGATGCTGATGAGGAGGAGGTGCAGGTTGCGAAAGAGGAGGAGGAGGATCAGGAGGAGGAGCAGGAGGCGGAGGAGGAGGAAGAAGAAGAAGAAGAAGAAGAAGAAGAAGAAGAAGAAGAAGGAGAAGATGATAGTGGGGGCTCGCTAGGACGATCCAGGTTAGTTGACGTCGTGGGAAGGAGAGACGAGGGTTGCTGCAGTCAGTGTGCCGCAGTCGGACCGGAGGTGTCCAAAAAGTCCGATTGGCGTCCAGAATGCCCGTTGACATATTGTGAACATGTTGGAGATGATTGGGCGTTGTCGTTTTGAGGCGGCGGTGGCGGCGGCGGCGGAGACGAGTCCGACAGTTCAGATTTGCGTTTGGACTTGGCGGCGGCGGTGATGTGGTTGGCTCTGAAGATTGTAGCGCCTGTCTTCACTGCCCTCTTCCACGTTGGTCTGACCCGGTTGGTGTCTTCCCAGTTTGCCGGGTTTCTCTACAGGCGCTTCAGAGGCGTTTTCATTGTATGTTTTAGTGCCAAAGAAGAGTCTTTTGAGGGGCCTGTCGTCGTCCATCCGTACTAGTTGGCCGCATTGCGAGGATGCTGAGGATCCCCGTCCGGTTCGGTAGGTCCGTGTCTGGGATCCCGTCCTGCCGCCTCAGGTTCAGTACTTGTCGAAGACGGCTGAAATGGAGATGATTGAGTCTACGTACCTGCTTCATGAACACAGTCCAGGTCTCCGTTCCGTGCATCAACCTCGACAGGATGACTGCCTTGGCTGATGTGAAACTTGTAACTATTCCAAACTGCGTTATGAAGATTACCGAACTATAGCCAAGCCTTGGAAATGCGGTGGGCCACTTCATCGTCGATTTTGATGCTGTAGGAGAGGGTGATGCCCACGTACATGAAGTTCTCCGCCACTTGCAGTTGGTTTCCGCTCACGTTGGTCTCGCCTCCAGACGAGGACAATGTCTAGTATGCGCCATGGCCATGACCGAATGGGTATCCAAGTGGCCTTATTTTGCGTCGCGAGACGGAAGATTATGTATGCTCGTCAGGAGGAGGCGGTGTTCCGCACAAGTTGTTAGGAAGAGCAATTCGTTATCGTTATAGCCATCGAGACTTCATTTCCAGGCAGCATGGTCTGCTCCGACGTGAGCGATAAAATCACCAAGGACAAATCACCAAGTCGTCAGCTCAGAGGCCAGGAGTGCGTGCAGTTCCGCGTAGAATTTGTTCCTCGTCTCGGTGGGACTGCTCATCGGCGGAGCGTAGATACTGGCAAGGGTGGTAATTTCTCCACCACAAAGAGGATCCTTAGCATTTGTTTAGAACAGCTTTTCTAGCCTAACTCCCCTCGCTGGGATGAACAGTGCTTTCACAAAATAAGGCTGCGCATACATCCCAGAAGGACGCCATACTCCACTTTAATCCCTGACTATTGTTCAGTGGAAGAAAGACCAACGTTGGCCTGGGTCTGACTACGGCAAGGCCACAACATTTTGACCATCGCACCCGACGACGTCCTCCGTATGCTCCACAGCAGGGTGAGATCAGGGACGCTGACTTGCGTATGCTTTAGTTTAAAGTGATGGAGATTTGCGCTGTATCTACCACAATTTCTCCACATCCCCCACCTGGACCCGGCGTCAAGAGAGAGTCCAGAGAACCGGAGGTGGGAGAGGGCGCAGGCAGATGACATGGTCGAGTTCGCACCCTGGCGTTCCAATCACCATCCCCTGATGCAAACAGCAAACAACTGGGCTTTTCACCAAAAACAGCATCAACAAGAACTAAGAATTCAGGCTGGCGCGGCAGAGACGGCACCTAGGCGTGCCGCCACTCCCGGCTTGGATCCCACGCATTGGGAGTGCCATAGAGGCCGCATTAAGAAGGAGCCACTGGAACCTGACTCTAAGGCCACCAGCCAGCCACTCCATACACAAACACACAAACACATTAGGTCGACTGCGAGATCCATGTTATCCGGTCAGTTGGCAACCTTCCAAGCCACGGCATTAGGTGCACCGTGATAGCTTCAGATAGTTTATAGTGAGAAGGACAATACGTTAAGTCGTCGATGTCATTCATCCTTCACATTCTCAGGCCGCAGCCACTGACCCAGAATTCATCTCCAGGCAGCATGGACTGCGCCGACGCGTGCGATAAAATCACCAAGTCCAAGTCACCAAGTCGTTGGCTCAGACGCCAGGAGTGTGTACATTTCCGCGTAGAATTTGTTTCTCGTCTCGGTGGGACTGCTCATAGGCGGAGCGTAGATACTGACAAAGGTGGTACTTTTTCCACACCAGAGAGGAAAGCGGAGGTTCATCAGACGATCGTTGATGCCCTGCGGCAAATAGGGCAGTCCTCCCACGATGTCGTTCCAGATGGCGAAGGTGACACCTGCATCTCGTCGCTTTGCCCTAGGTCAACCGCTCCAAAAGAAGGTGTAGCCGGCACCAACCTCCTCCAGTTGGCCTTGTTCGGAGAATCGGGTCTCTCTGAGTGCGATGATGTCCACCTTGTATAGCGCTTGTTCTCGAGTTACTAGTGCCGTCTTCCGTTCCGGTCCGGTGTCCCCCGGATTGTCTAGAAGGGAACGAACACTGCCGGCTGCCAGAGTGAGCGAGATGGGAGGCGGGAATGAGGAGGACGAGGAGGAGGAGGAGGAGGAGCACCATGATTACACAAAATTCGCGTTGAGCAGCGTGCATCTGACATGCGTGGGGGTGCCGTGAACACGCTGAGGAAGAATGTTGTTTTAGTCTGACTCTCCTAGTGGACGGAGGTTGTGGAGGAACGCGATTAAATCTGCATCGTCTGGTGGTTAAATAATTTGCACACATTGACATTGTTTACGCGCGCCACATGCTCGACCTGGCTCCTCAAACATAAGCACCACGATTGCCCACAACTCGGGTTGAGCAACGTACATGTGACATGCGTGAGAGTTCCGTGATCGCGCTGAGAAGGAGCTGTTTCAGTCTGGCTTTCTTAATGGACGTTGTTTGTGGAGGAACACGACCAAATAATGATAATAATAATAATAGTAATTTTTTCATGCAAGTTTACAGGAATTGTCAGGGAAGCGTTAAACACTAATCCGGCCAGCAGTGAAAAAAACTCCTGTGGAAAAGGAATAGAAATAAAGTTGAATGTAGTTTTCGTAGTTTGGAGGATTCAGGAGAAAAAAAAAACTGCTGGCGACAAACTCTCGACCGTCAAGAAGTGAGGGGTTGCACGGTATCGGATATTATCAGTCGCCAGTTTCTTTCGTGAAATTAGGGTTAGTCCAACCAGAAGCGCCGACGAACAGCTGTCGCTGTTGGCCAAAGAAAATGTCCCTGATGAGACCGCCCATGTTTTCAGAGACCACAAACGCCATCGCTACGGTACAGTAGTTCAGCGGATTCAGCCCCCAAATTTGTGGGAGCTTTTCTGAATGCAAAAATCGAGTAATAATACATTTGCATCCTCCGATGGTTAAAAAGTTTACTCACAGTTCCGTATGGCAATGAGGAACCCGATGTGCTTATCGGCGAAAAGAAGTTCATGGATGGTGACTGTGGATACATGCGACCGGAAGGGCATCCAGCGCAGTTTAACGAGGTGGCCGGTCGTCCCGTAGGCGAGGTGGATCCAGGGGCGTTCGTCGCGTCCAGCGTGCATCAGCATTGAGGGGAACATAAGACTGAAGGGGGTAGGCGCGAGGACACAGCCGTGTTTTACTCCGCTGGTCACTGCGAATTCCTCCGAGACAGCTCCATTGTCCCTAATGCGTGTCATTATGTCATCATGGAGCTGACGCACCATCTGACTGAATAGTCCGGGACAGCTAAATCACCGCATGATATTCCACACTTCGTCACAATTCACCCTGTCGAATGCATTCGTCAGATCCACGAAAGAAAATTGCAGGTAGGTCCGCATCTTCTGACACTTTACCTGCAGCTGGTGGGTGGCGAAGATCCTGTCCATGGTGCCACGATAGCGGCGAAAGCCGCATTGACTTTTCGCAAGAACACTTTGATCCAAGTGCTTCTTCAGGCGCTTGAGAAGAATGTGAGCGAATATCTTACCGGCAATGTTCAGCAAGCAGATTCCTCGGTGGTTGTCACAGACTTGGCGATTTCCTATCCGTTTGTATAGGTGGATGATATTAGTGTCCTTGAAATCCTGCGGGACTTCTCCTTGACGCCACATCTCCTGGAACAGTTGTCAGGTCCCATCGTCTGGGACTCGCGCCTTCATGCCACCGTGGAGCCCACGCATCATCTGACTTAATCCTTCTCGTTCTCACACTGTTACTGACCTCAAATTCGTTTGTCCTTCCAAAGGTCAAACCACAGTCTTGTATTTTATAGAACGTTTTGCAGTTTTCAAGCAGTGCGATTTTGCCCGGTGATTTCCTAACTCTGATCGACAACACTTTCTAGAGCAAACTATGTGTGACGTACAGCAGACGTAGTGTAACTTACAGCCGCTGAAAGGCAACAATTCCACACCACCATCTGGATCACCTATGGCTACATGAAGCTTTGGCGAAGGGCTAGCGTAATTCAGGGCTCCAAACGCTGTGAGACTGAAGAGAAGTTCGTGTAGAGAGTGCGTCATCCTCTTCTTTCCCGAGAATCGATGCCCCACCCTGATAACACACAACACCAGCGCGCCTGCAATCTGCACACACGAAACCCCAGTCAGCCAGCTCCCTCCCTCCGCATCGGATCAGTGGATTTTAGTACTATGCGGTGCGCCTAGAGTGGCGTGATCTGCTCGCGTCTGTCATTTAGTTTTTGAATAATGATGACAGGAGTTCTAATTCAATCAGTGCAAAATTCGTAAGACTTGATACAGAGCTGCAGGTTTGCAACCAGCTTACAGGGAATTTTCCTGACATGTCAGTGTTGTGCCACACCTGAAGGTATAACCACACTATAGTCTTAAAATTCCTATCCGTCAGAACAAAGAGCCCCCTCAGCTTACAGAATATATTTCCTAAGGTCTCACCTATCCTCGTCGATCGAACTGTAAATCCTCGGTGCCACGGTGGGATTCGATTCCATGACCGCAAGGGTTTAACTCTGTCAAGTAATTCATATCTCCTTAATTTGACTGGCAAGGCGGGCCTATTGCAACTTGGCCGACTATTGTCAATATTGCCGTATTAAACTCAAGTACACAGACGAGTCATTTTGATACGCATATGAAATACTCGGAGCCTCGGTGGGGAAGCCTTAGTATGGCCAACGCTCTTAACACCTGTGCTTAGAGACTCAACCGGACGACACAACATTAATCGTATCTGCCATAATACCTATGAATTACGTGAGACACGTAGACATCTGGTGGATTCTAGATGTATTAATTAGAAAATCCTGCTTGGAAATTCAGCTTACTTTATCAGATTTGGTGGATTTTAGACGGTGCATTAGATCGGACGGGCAAACTTGATTTAGATGTGATTAAACTCGCGTCGTCCGGTGGGTCCTCGTATCTCAGGTGGCTAGAGCGTTGGCTGTACTAAAGCCTCCCTTTGCTGTTGTGGGTTCGAATATCACCAGTTAGGCTTAGGAGCAACTTCGGAGAGTGAAACCACTTATTTTTCAGAAGTAAAGCATTCTTAGCAGTGTCATTTTCATGTGAGAAGAATCATTCGATCGCTGGAGCAAAAATATTGTTCACTTGAGGTTCGCGATACCTTTTTGATCAAGGACAGCAACATATTGAATTTGTGGACGTACAGCGGTTGAAATATTTATAAGCAGCAATTCCTATACTATCATGCGCATGTTTATAATGATAATGCCCGCATTCCTTGCAGCTTTTCGTGATGCGTTTGACGATTTCCTGAGTAGCTATGTTTAAATTGTGACTGTTACAATCTAGCTGTTTTTGAATACTAACCTCGTCCTTTGCTCTAAAAATAGACTTTGGCGATTCTATGACTTTGGGGAACTGGGATTTTTGTTAGAAATGCGGTTTGCCTGGCAGGCTGACGTCGACACAATGTTGAAATTTGCTGAGTGCCCCTTTCCAATTAATACCAGAAAGACCACGTTCTAATGCGTGCGTTCTAAAATCAGAAATAATTATTTAATTTTCCGCATCTTCACTTCCCCACCCTTGGTTTGCTTACCTAGATTATTCATTTCTAATTTATGTGAATATACCAACACGCACAGTTGAAAACATGAAACCATTAAGTACGTTAGAGACTCGTATTGCACGTGATCATTCAGTGATTTCGAACTTGACTGGGCATCTTACACCTATGTTCGGAGGAACACTAATACAGAGTGACGAATCCGCACTAATTGTTTCATTGTTTCATTGTTAATCACAACTCCATCGCATTTGTTTCACTTTGGATGTAAAGAGGCTTCTGACCGCAAATTACCGATATTTACAATGACTGATTAATAATGCCTTCGTTGTCGGAGGGAATCAAGCAAGTATGCAGAACACTGCGGTTTCTCTTAGAAGCAAATTCCGAGACCGAACCCGCTTTATTTTCAGAACTGGACCTTCCTTAAGAGTGTTATTTTGCTGTCAGCAAAATCACTTGATCCCTAAGGCGAGAGTAAGGTTCACTTGAAGTTTCAAGTTCATTTTCGCATGTTCCGCATGTTTTTTAGCGCATCTGCCGCTTGAGCGGTTTTAGGGACACTGTCATTGTTCAGTGACGTACACACCCGTCGACTACGCACGCCGCTGACTACCTGCCGTCAAGGTCATCTAGGGGCGCTTCTACTCGCATTCAGCGTTCGGCCATCTGGCGATATCTGCCAGCTGCGTCATCCACCGAGCACGATCGATTTTCTCTCGTCAGGCGCGCAGGCCGCCCCTCACGGTCCATGCACCACCAACTCAATGTGCGCCTCTAATAACCGCTAAATCTTTTCCAGAGGAAGAAACGCATCAGTTTCTGCTACGAAGACAGACAGCGTACCTGCCGCCAACATCTTAATCGACAAACTACTAAGGAGGATAACGTTTCATGAAATATCAGGTCATAATCACTTATGACGAATTCCCTCAATAGCGAATGCGGAAAGCAACTCTCACACCAGTCTATCGCATTTCGTGTGGGTGGACTACATTTGCTTTTAGGACTGGGACACTATTCGGACTTGGTGACATCTGTCCTAATGCATAATGCCAGGTCCGCCGTCTACGATCTAACTGTTCCTATAACCTGTCGTCTCCGTAAGTAGTACGTCTGCTATTCATAATAACACAAGAGCTCATCGATTTGCGATCCTACAAGCGATGCTCACTACGTCGGCAAATGGGCATCTTCCTAAACTTACCTCGACCACATCATTCATTTCTTTCAGAGATAAGCTAGAGACCTTTTCATAACTCCACGTATTGAACACCTTACACCCTTTCTCACCTGGCAGTGAGAACATCTCCACCACTAAATCTAATTCTTTTCCAGCATCATATCCGCTGGCGACAATGATTACTCCCCAAAGTCATGCATTACTCCCGAAAATGAGCATCTCCCTCGTAAAAAATAACTGGTTCTCACATTTCATTCCTTGCAGAGGCAAACACGCCATTAATCGGTCGCCTTAGGTGTTGGCCACTACACACCCATTCGACGTTTTCAAAAAAACGACAAACCAGCTTACATTGCAAGTCGTTTATTACTCAACATGCGGGTCATAGAAGGAACAGTAAGAAATGCAGAAGTTTACATGCGAATGCTTGCAGCTCCATCGATGATTGCGAGCGTCTTCAGTGGTTTCTTCGACGACCAGCTCCAAGCTGTCAAGTCGTTGCTGACATCAGCCGATCCGCCCGGTGCCGTGAAAGTCTCCACCGTGTTTCCTGATCCCCACCAGCAGCCTGCAAATTGTGAATAATTCCAGTGAAATTCTAATTTCCTAAGTATCAAAATAGAAAAATTAGCATACGCTTTGCACAATACCGCTAGACAAAAGGTTTATTTCAATAAAACTCAGAGTAGACAAAGTAAGCTTTGAACGCAGTATCTACTGAAGGCGCTTTAACCTCTCGGTTGCGTAATTCGCGTAAAAATCTATTTTAATAAGCAGACGATTTGCACTACAAACGGCATACCATCGGCCCTAACGACGTTGTGTTTACGAAACGTCATGCAAAGTCTCATTTTCACATGGTTGCCATCAGAGGACAGTCTTAATCTTCCTCATAAAAAGGGATTACGCAGAAAAGGACATGGAATGGCATGCAAGAGAGAGGAAAAGGAATGCAGTTACGCTGAGCAAAGGAGGAGGAGGAG